GTTGGTAGCGCATCGCGCGTATGTCCAAACGCCAAGTCATAGTACTTTCAACTCAAAATTGATAGGATGATTTCCAGAATCTCCAGAAACCATAATTAGTCAAGAAACTACTAGATAAAGCTGGAAACGGCTGGAATATTCGAGAATATTCTAGAATGTTCTCGTCTATTCTAGAATGAAACGCCCCTAAACAAGTGAGAGAGTGCGCGAATGAGGAGAGCGCAGACAGACCATTCGCGAAGCACCCCGATTGTTCTGTGAAATCTACATATAAGCCCGGAAAAAGTGTTCGGTCATCGAAACAGAATCAGATTCACTTCTGAAACTAAACTCTCATCAAAGCTAAAACTCTATTATATTCAATTCAACTACATTCCACAATGTCATCCTGTAAAACAATAGGAATCGACTTAGGAACTACATATTCCTGTGTTGCTGTATACCAGAATGGGAAGGTAAGACATCTCATTTCAGTTCTTCTTTAAAACTTCTCTCTCAGGTTGAAATCATAGCAAACGATCAAGGAAACAAGACAACTCCATCCTATGTGGCTTTCACTGACTCTGAACGACTGATAGGAGACGGAGCAAAGGACCAGGCAGCTCGTAATCCACAAGGAACTGTTTTTGATGCCAAGCGACTGATCGGACGCCAATTCAATGACACTCAGATCCAAGAAGATATCCGAAACTTCCCATTTGCTGTCAAAAACAGAGGAGGAAAACCCATCATAGAGGTATATCTTTCGCTCTCTACGACTCGTGCTTATCATATCACTTCAGGTTGAGTACAAAGCTGAGACGCGCCAATTCAATCCCGAAGAAATATCAGCAATGGTTTTAATGAAAATGAAGGAGACCGCAGAAACCTACTTGGGTCATGACGTACGAGATGCTGTGATCACTGTTCCAGCCTACTTCAACGATAGTCAAAGACAAGCTACAAAAGACGCCGCTACTATAGCTGGATTGAACGCAGTTCGAATTATTAACGAGCCCACAGCAGCAGCTTTGGCTTACGGATTGGACAAGAACATCAAAGGAGATCGTAATGTACTCATCTTCGATCTCGGTGGTGGAACTTTCGACGTCTCTATCTTACAAATAAGCGAAGGGTCTCTTTTCGAGGTTCTATCAACTTCTGGAAACACACATTTGGGAGGTGAGGACTTCGATCAACGCCTTCTCAATCACTTTGTCGCTGAGTTCAAACGCAAGCATAGAAAAGATCTCTCGAGTAACCCAAGAGCTCTGAGACGTCTTCGAACAGCCTGCGAACGAGCGAAAAGAACATTGTCTAGCTCAGTCGAGAGTGTGGTGGAAGTAGATTCTCTCCATGAGGGTTTAGACTTCCATTCCTCCATCACAAGAGCTCGTTTCGAAGAACTGTGTAATGACCTCTTCCGATCAACACTGGAACCCGTCGAAAAGGCTCTACGCGATGCGAAGCTCGATAAATCCCAAATTCATGAACTTGTTCTTGTTGGAGGATCTACTCGTATTCCCCGCGTTCAAAAGCTTCTGCGTGATTTCTTCAATGGAAAAGAACTTAACTACTCCATTAACCCTGATGAAGCAGTTGCTTATGGAGCTGCAGTGCAAGCTGCAGTTCTTGCTGGAGTTCAGGATCAAGCAATCAAAGACGTTCTGCTAGTGGATGTTGCTCCTCTCAGTCTCGGAATAGAAACTGCTGGCGGAGTTATGACAAACCTCATTGACCGCAATACCCGAATCCCTACGAAAGCCAGCAAAACCTTCTCAACGTTCGCTGACAACCAATCTGGAGTTTCGATTCAAGTGTTCGAAGGAGAGAGAGCTATGACTAAGGACAACCATCCCCTTGGATCATTCGAATTGAGCGGGATTCCTCCAGCTCCTCGAGGAGTTCCTCAGATTGAAGTCACATTCCACATTGATGCCAATGGAATTCTGAACGTCAGCGCGGAAGATAAATCGACTGGAAAACGTAACCAGATTACGATCAAGAACGAAAAGGGACGATTGAGTCAATCTGATATTGAACGAATGGTAAACGAAGCAAAAGAATTCGAAGCCGAGGATAGCAAAGCACGCGAAAGGATAGCTGCCCGTAATCATTTGGAATCTTATACTTATCAGGTAGGCATCAAATTCGAATTTCTATGTAACTCTTATCCTTCAGATCATGCAAGCATTAGATGAACATGGCAGTAAACTCGAATCAGAAGACCGAAACAAAGCACGAGCTGCATGTGATGATACGATCAGATGGATGGATTCAAATCAATTGGCTGATAAAGAAGAATTCGAAGATAGATTCAAGGAATTGGAGAAAATCTGCCAATCGGTGATGAGGAAAATCCACGAACCTGCATCTTCCCAGTCCTGTGGAAGCCAATCGAATAGCGGGTTTGCCCAAGGAAATCATCCCACCAATGGGCCAACTGTAGAAGAAGTCGATTAACTTGATCATCAAATGGAAATTGACCTCTGAAATGCCACGGGTTGATGATTATGAACTATTTAATGCTTTACCTGTATATTTTGATATATTAGTTTATTAGTTGTACATATTGTTCAATAAACATGATATCCACTACTCATCTCATTGATCTCCAAGAGCTCGCAGTCT